TTGCAGTCCAATAAACTAAAAAAAAAAAAGAAGTTGACTGTTGGCTTTTACATTGTCGCCTGACATAAAACATATGTTAGTTTAGGTGGTGAACGCAAAGAATGAGGAGAGCGTCAAATAAGGAATTCCTGTTGCAAGGAGAGGACGTGGTCGATCTGTGCCAGCTACACGCACAAGTTAAACACCTTTCTCATGTGCGAGTACGTGACAGAACCTTCAGCGTTATTTGGTAGGCCCGAATACCGCTCTATAAATGGTGAGGCCAAAACAAGTACAGGCGATAGTAGATTGGATGGCTGACAGTGCCTCCAGTTCCTGCACATTGTCTCCCACCTGGTGCCCTGCTGAAAGCTCAGAGTTGGCACTTGCAGCCCATGGCCATCTGTCTATCAACTCCCCCCCATTCCAAATCACCCAAGCAGTGTGAGCCACAAGTCATGCAGCAGTCACTTATGCTTTTTGATGACTCTGCTGGTGGGGTTTCCATGGGCCATCCACCTAGCCCTGCCCCAGAAGTGGAAGGGATTGAGTGCACTGATGCGCAACAACTTATGTGTGAGGATGTGGACATGCAAGGACAACCGCAGCACGTCTCTGATGATGAAACACAGATGCCAACTGCTGTGGCTTTCGGCAGTGTGCAGACCGGTAAGGAGGGCAGGGTTGAGGAGTGGGTGGAAGATGATGTGGAGGATGATGAGGTCCTAGACCCCACATGTAATGAAGGTCATGAGAGTGACCTGTGCAGTTTGGAGGAAGAGGCGGTGGTCACACAGAGGCACCAGCACAGCATAAGAGGGAGCAGGGTGCAAAAGCGGAGCGGTATGTCTGTTACTGCCCACCGCACCCAGGGACCGAGCACACCAAAGCCAGCTCCAAGGAGTTACCTGGCATGGCAGTTCTTCAGACAATGTACTGACGACAAGACATGAGTGGTTTGCACGCTGTGCAATCAGAGCCTGAAGCGAGGCATAAACGTGCTAAACCTGAACACAACCTGCATGACCAGGCATCTACATGCAAAGCACGAGCTGCAGTTGAGTAAGCACATGAAAAACCAAGAAAGGTCTCAGGCTTCTCCTGCTTCCTCTTCTGCTGCTGTCTCGGCCTCTTTGTCCACCTCTGGAGTGACAGTGGCACCTGCCACCCCACAAACAGAGGATGTTGCAGCAACGCCACCATGTCTGCCACCGTCCCCAAGCATCTCCACACTGTCCCATGGAAGCGTTCAGTTGTCCATTTCCCAAACACTGGAGAGAAAGAGGAAGTACGCCCCCACCCACCCGCGATCCCTGGCCCTGAATGCCAGCATTTCAAAATGTGTCTGGTGGAGATGCACAGTTTTAAAAACCTGATGGTAGTGGCTGTCCCACAGTACGTGGTTCCTGGCCACCCCTACTTTTCCAGGCAAGCCATCCCTTCCCTGCACAACCAATTGGCAGACAAAATCAGGTGTGCACTGCGCAACTCCATCAGTGGCAAGGTCCACATAACAACAAATACGTGGACCAGTAAGCACGGGCAGGGATGCTATATCTCCCTAACTGTACACTGAACAAATGTAATGGTGGCTGGGCCTGATGCCGATAGCAGTTTTGCCGGTTTGCCACACATCCCTTGTCTGACGCATGTGCTGAATTTGGTGGTGCAGAAATTCCTGAAAAACTACCCAGATATATCAGAGCTTCTGCAGAAAGTGCGGGCCTTATGTGCGTGCTTTTGGCGTTCTCACCCTTTTGCTGCTCGCCTGTCTGTACTGCAGCGTAACTTCAGCCTTCCTGCTCACCGCCTCATATGCGACATGCCTACAAGGTGGAACTCCACCTTGCACATGCTGGAGAGACTGTGCGAGCAGCAGCAGGCAATAGTGGAGTTTCAGATGCAGCACGCACGGGTCAGTCGCTCTGCGGAACAGCACAGCTTCACCACCAATGAGTTGGCCTCCATGCAAGACCTGTGTGCCATTTTGCACTATTTCGAGTACTCCACCAACATGGCCAGTGCCGATGACGCCGTTCTCAGCCTTACTATCCCGCTTCTATGTCTCCTTGAAAAAACGCTGCGGGCGATGATGGAAGAGGATGTGGCACAGGAGGAGTAGGAGGGGTCATTTCCATGGTTATCAGGCCAGTCATTCACAAGTGGCTTGGAGGGTGGATTCCTGCACCAGCATAGGCCAGGTACACAATTGTCCAGCCAGGGCACAGTTCTGGAGGATGAGGAGGAGTAGGAGGAACCTTGTTCACAGCAGGGTGGCACCCAACACAGCTCGTGGGCATCACTGGAGCGTGGCTGGGGGGATACAGAGGACACAGACGATACACCTTCCACAGAGGACAGCTTGTCCTTGTCTATGGGCGGCCTGGCACACATGAGTGACCACATGCTGCAGTACCTTCGCAACGACTGCCGAGTTTCCCACATTCTAACTTGTTCTGATTACTGGGTGGCCATCATGCTGGATCCCCGTTACAAGGACAACGTGCCATCCTTAATTTCCTAACTGGAGCGTGATCGGAAGATGCGCGACTACAAGCTCACGCTCGTAGACACGCTGCTGAGGGCATTCCCAACTGACACCGGGGGCTCAGTGGAAGCACAAGGCAAAGGCAGAGGAGGAGGAAGAGGTCGCCAGCGCAGCTGGGGCACTGCCAGCACCTCAGAAGGCAGGGTTAGCATGGCTGAAAAGTGGAACAGCTTTGTCAGCACGCTACAACAACCAGCACCACCTTCTGATATGGAACATCTTAGCAGGAGGCAGCATTTCAGCAACATGGTGGAACAGTATGTGTGCACACACCTACACGTACTGACTGATGGGTCTGCCCCATTCAACTTCTGGGTCTCCAAATTTGGCACATGGCCTGAGCTTGCCCTTTATGCCTTGGAGGTGCTGGCCTGCCCTGCAGCAAGTGTATCGTCTGAACGTGTGTTTAGCATGGCAGGGGTTGTTATCACAGACAAATGGATAATTCTGGTGATCCTCCTGACAGCCATGCTTTAGATTTTGATTTATGTTCTTCCAAAGCTAAAATCAAAGATTCCATCTAGTGCTATTTTATGGCTTTCCTGTAATTTTAAATGTTATGTTATTTTAAGTGATTTCTCTATCCACATTTGTTTGCAGGGCACTTGTCCTATGCTTACCCCCATTTTACTTCCTTTTGCAGCTCTCTAGCCCTTTCCAGGAGTTTTTTAGAGGCATTTTTGTGGCCAAAAGTTCGGGTCCCCATTGACTGCAATGGGGCTCGGGTTCGGGGTCAAGTTCTTTTTTTTTTTCAAAGTTCGGCCGAACCCGCCTGACCCGAACATTCAGGTGTCCGCTCAACTCTATCCAGGAGCTAAAAATTAGATAAATATATAATGAAATACAAATAGTAAACAATGTTAGTATGTGCTTGATTCTTCATAAAATGTCTATAATGATACAGTCTACAGTAGTTTATAAAAACAAAGATTGCAAAATATAGAATAAGTTCCAAGTGATCTGAGTCCTGGACAGAATGTTTATATCATCGGGGCATGTCTATTTAAAAAAAAAAAAAAAACTCCTTATTTTACTTTAGGGCCCCCATCCACCATTGAGGGCTGGGGTAACATTTCTTTTTTATTCCCCCCACCCTGCCCCTCTCTTTGAAAACCAAAAATAGCTCTATAATGAGTTTTATAATTTAATATGTAGGGTATAATCATATTTGGATTATTTAATCTAGATTTTGCCATTGTGATTACTGCTGCACCATGAATGAACACTGTTCACCATTCATTATTAGTGAGATGTTAGCTTATATTTTTTTCTCATTTATATTTGATTAGCCTGCATCCCAGGCTAGAATTTTAATTAAAAATGCAAAAACAATAACTCAAACCTGAAATAGATGAGGTTACATAGTTACATAGCTGAAAAGAGACTTGCGTCCATCAAGTTCAGCCTTCCTCACATGTTTTTGCTGTTGATCGAAAAGAAGGCAAAAAACCTAGTCTGAAGCGCTTCCAATTTTGCAACAAACTAGGAGTAAATTCCTTCTTGACCCCAAAATAGCAGTCAGATGTATCCTTGGATTAAGCAGCTATTACCCCACTAATTAGAAATTATATCCCTGTATGTTATGTTTTTGCAAGTATTTATCCAATTGCAGTTTAACCCCTTAAGGACACATGACATGTGTTACATCTTACTGTAAAAAAAAAGTTTCTTTGCCTTAGATGTGTGACCTTGTGTCCTATGTATAGCCCTGTTTATGAATAGATTGCCAGTTAAAGGTTTGTACTGGCCCTGAATATATTTGTATAATGTTATGATATCCCCTCTCAGGCGCCGTTTTTCCAAACTAAACAGATTTCATTTTTTTAACCTTTCTTCATAATTAAAATGTTTTGGGGTTTTTTTAAGCATCCAAAAGGCAATTTGTTGATTGTACTCACTAAAGTACACTTGTTTTTGTTCTGTGCCTCTTGTTTCTTTGGTTAAACATTAGTTAAATATGTTTGTGTCAATTCATGAAGCTTTACAGTTTGTTATAAAAAAAAAATCAGACTTGGTGTTTGATAAGTTCAACAATAATTCACAAAGCACAAAGTAAGCTGCTTGTTATCACTTATTAATTATACCCCTTGATATTTAGCAGTCCAAAGGGAAAATGTAAATATGGTTAGGCATTCTTTGCATGGTTAATTTACTTACAGATGTCACTCAGTAGGAAGCAATTAAAGTTTTCTCATCCAAAACGAAATAAGGATTGACATAAGCCATCTCAGTGCTGATATTTCCATAAGTGTAGTCAAACATAAGTATGATTCTCAAACAGTTGGATATGTTTCCAATACATCAGCGACCCTTTGGAATTTCAAAAAACATTTTGATTACAAATATTTCTGTTCCACTGTAATCGTCTTATAAACTGCATTTTATACTTTTCAAGTGTAGGTTCAAAAAGTATAAGTCATTGTTCAAAGCACTTTAAGGTAATATATCCCATAAAGTTTATGTGTGTGTATATATGTATATATATGTGTGTGTGTGTGTGTGTATATATATATGTGTATACATACACACACACACACACACACACACATACACACACACACACACACACACACATCTACTGTCATATACCTTATGGGATATATATCCTGTAAAGCACACTTAGCGATGGACACTGTTTTAAACACAGCTTGTTTTAAAATCACTACATGAGTTATAATCAGAAAGGAACAGTGTTACCTGACAGATCTTATTTGCCCTACCAGATCTGAAACCATTTGCCTGAACCCAAACAAACAAAGTATGATTAATTTTGGCACTTTTCTCTTTTTCACTTTATGGAAACTTATCCACTTATGGATAATTACCAGCATCTGAGTTAATTTTCTCACTAAATCTTGAATTTTTGCAAAACTAAAATCAATTGTAAAAATTGTGGCAAAAAGTTGTGATCGTGGCTAAATTGGAGACTGTTTCCAAATCAGCTCTCTTTTCCAGTAAGGTTTAATTTGCATAAATTCTGAGTTCTGTGAATAATCTTGACTGTATTTTCTGTAACATTTATTTGTACATTTATGATTTACATTTTTGTTGCTCTTTGCAAGTCATCCATATTAAGCATTAATCTTTTTGCAGTACTGATGCAAGATCTCATGCATTATGTTGATAGCATATTGCTAGACTTGTGTATATTTGTAGGAAAAAAAAACAGTACTTTCTAAAAGATTTATTTAAATTTTTCATCTCAATCCTTTTTTTTTGGTCTGTAATATTAGGGAATCTTAAAGATTTTGGGGTTAGACTGTTTATCGTTTTAACCCCTTAAGGTAAGATGGTGCCCAGGAGCTCTTGGCATCAAAACACATTCTCTTGAAGATGTTGTGGTTCCCTGAGTGGTCCTTTAACTTTGCATCCACAGCTACAAACGAGAAAAATGGTTTTGTACACCTATTTCCAAAACTGGGGGTATCTAAGCCTGATGAGGAAGTTGCTGCCACCCCAGAAGAATCAGAGCTTTGAGAGTCTAATCAAAACATTAATGAATCCAATATAGTAAAGTATTTAACTACTGGCTAAAGTATAACATTTCTTCACATATAAAAGTCATATTTTTCAGAGTCCGTATGTTGACTTTATCTCCGTGCAAGGTGGTCACTGTAGCAACAGAAGAATTTCAACATAACTAGTGATTGAAAACACGCATGTTCTACACATGGGATTTTATCTTCAAAACAAAAGTTAGATGGAAGAACTAAACCACAACCTATAGGTAACTGATCCATCCTGTATGTCTTTCTAAATTTTCAGGATGTTTAAGTAGAAAGTCAAATACTGACATCCATGTATTCAAAACATTTGAAGGATGCCAATGTAATTCTACTGGCTGAAAAAATTATCAACTTTTTCCTGCCAATAATTATCAACAGAAAATAATTAAAATCATAATGAAATATTGCTTAATGCTAAACTGAGAAACTAAAAAAGGGGCTATTCAGCTATGCCATGCTTTCAATGGTACCTATACACTAAGTGGTGCACTGAGCAAACTTGTCTTAATACTGAATGTTTCTGGATTTCTTCTAAAAGTAGAAAGGAAGATAAGTAGAGCTAACCATGCCTCTACCAGAGTAAAAGAAAAAAAGTATAATTACTGCTCATCAATGGACCATGTTATCCTCGATAATTCAGCTGTAGCACGATTGCAGCTTACACAACAATTCTATAGATGCAGCAGAGCCCATGTTAATTTAACCTACAGGGAGCGCAGAATTATTAGGCAAGTTGTATTTTTGAGGATTAATTTTATTATTGAACAACAACCATGTTCTCAATGAACCCAAAAAACTCATTAATATCAAAGCTGAATATTTTTGGAAGTAGTTTTTAGTTTGTTTTTAGTTATAGCTATGTTAGGGGGATATCTGTGTGTGCAGGTGACTATTACTGTGCATAATTATTAGGCAACTTAACAAAAAACAAATATATACCCATTTCAATTATTTATTATTACCAGTGAAACCAATATAACATCTCAACATTCACAAATATACATTTCTGACATTCAAAAACAAAACAAAAACAAATCAGTGACCAATATAGCCACCTTTCTTTGCAAGGACACTCAAAAGCCTGCCATCCATGGATTCTGTCAGTGTTTTGATCTGTTCACCATCAACATTGCGTGCAGCAGCAACCACAGCCTCCCAGACACTGTTCAGAGAGGTGTACTGTTTTCCCTCCTTGTAAATCTCACATTTGATGATGGACCACAGGTTCTCAATGGGGTTCAGATCAGGTGAACAAGGAGGCCATGTCATTAGATTTTCTTCTTTTATACCCTTTCTTGCCAGCCACGCTGTGGAGTACTTGGACGCGTGTGATGGAGCATTGTCCTGCATGAAAATCATGTTTTTCTTGAAGGATGCAGACTTCTTCCTGTACCACTGCTTGAAGAAGGTGTCTTCCAGGAACTGGCAGTAGGACTGGGAGTTGAGCTTGACTCCATCCTCAACCCGAAAAGGCCCCACAAGCTCATCTTTGATGATACCAGCCCAAACCAGTACTCCACCTCCACCTTGCTGGCGTCTGAGTCGGACTGGAGCTCTCTGCCCTTTACCAATCCAGCCACGGGCCCATCCATCTGGCCCATCAAGACTCACTCTCATTTCATCAGTCCATAAAACCTTAGAAAAATCAGTCTTGAGATATTTCTTGGCCCAGTCTTGACGTTTCAGCTTGTGTGTCTTGTTCAGTGGTGGTCGTCTTTCAGCCTTTCTTACCTTGGCCATGTCTCTGAGTATTGCACACCTTGTGCTTTTGGGCACTCCAGTAATGTTGCAGCTCTGAAATATGGCCAAACTGGTGGCAAGTGGCATCGTGGCAGCTGCACGCTTGACTTTTCTCAGTTCATGGGCAGTTATTTTGCGCCTTGGTTTTTCCACACGCTTCTTGCGACCCTGTTGACTATTTTGAATGAAACGCTTGATTGTTCGATGATCACGCTTCAGAAGCTTTGCAATTTTAAGAGTGCTGCATCCCTCTGCAAGATATCTCACTATTTTTGACTTTTCTGAGCCTGTCAAGTCCTTCTTTTGACCCATTTTGCCAAAGGAAAGGAAGTTGCCTAATAATTATGCACACCTGATATAGGGTGTTGATGTCATTAGACCACACCCCTTCTCATTACAGAGATGCACATCACCTAATATGCTTAATTGGTAGTAGGCTTTCGAGCCTATACAGCTTGGAGTAAGACAACATGCATAAAGAGGATGATGTGGTCAAAATACTCATTTGCCTAATAATTCTGCACTCCCTGTATACAGCAAAGAATCATGAAGATTACAATGGAATGTTGCACAAGTCTAAACAGGCCTTCCATGGATTCAAGGGCACCTATCCACTAAGTAGTGCATCTATCAAACTCTCTAAACACTAAATGTTCCTAGAATTAAACTATACACCTGAAAGTAGAAAAGAGGATACTTTGAGATAACCATGCCAGCTAAAATAAAATGTGTGTAATAATGGATCATCCATAGATCATGTTATCATAGACAATTCAAATGTAGCATGATCGCAGATCTACAAACACACACCAAAAAAAATCTATGGATGTAACATAACCCTGACGCACGGGCCCGTCAAACGGTTCTTCAGACTACAGTATGTGTTATAATGTACAGAAATATTGCATTGCAAATTTTTTTGCTACTCGACTTTTAGAAGTAACCAACCATCAGCAACAAGATATCCTTATTACTCATTTAAGTGAATAAATAGGCTTGGCTTACCAATTCAATTCCCATGCCATTTAAATTCTTCTATCTATTGCGAGACTCATTTTAATATTTATGCCTAATAAAAGTTACATTTTAGATTGTTCCTACCATCTCTAGGAAATGACTATCTTTTCATGTGTTGTGAATAATCAGATTCCAAATCAGAAACAAAACTAGGAATTGACTGTAAGAGTTGGTTCATGCTGTGTTCAATATGAAAGGCACAAAAAGTTTCCAAAAGTTGATCCCCTCAGCAACTTGGTTTAAGTGAGTTTAAACTGGTGAAATGCTGAGTGAGATACCATTAATTCAAATGGTGCTTATCCAAAAGTAAAACCCCACAAGTGAAATGTGGATAATTGACCCCTGTAAATCACCAAATTTTATTAAGAAGGAATTGCTAAATCATTGATTTATAGAAACTTAATGAACTTCACAATTAAACTTCTTCTCTCTGATTCATATCGAAGTGGATAACTTGGATTAAAATTAAAATTACTTATTTTCACTACATTTTTCCTTAGGACTGCATGTATTCAAGTCAAGTATCTCTATACTTGTATACAATATATATATATAAAAAAAAAACCACACAAAACGGTCCTATACATTTTGTCTTGGCCTGGCTAAGACTTCCTCAATGACAAAAAAAAAGCAAGTGCCCATATAAATAGTACTTTCTCACTTCTCCTATTGGTGTATCCAGTCCGTTCCTCCTCTTCATGCTTCATATTTCAATCTTTTCCTCTTAACTCTTCTCCCATCCAGCTGATCTCACTTTATTTTTCTACTTGATGATTTCCACCTATAGTTTTGCTCCTCAGTGTAATGCATTCAATAGGCATTTCAATTGTATGTTTGAACTTGTGTTCCCCTGATTCTTGTTTTTAACATACCTCAAGAAGAATATATTGTAGCAAACTGTCCAATTTTTACAAACTAATTTAGTTGCCAGTATTTGTTATAAAGTTTTATTTAGGGATTGCATGCCTACCCATAGCTATTATGCTTGATACTTTTATATACCGTTTGAAAAATAATTACTTGTCACATAGAAAATGGCCAATTTTTCAAAAGCTCCTTTACTCATTTAGGTGCCAGCATTTGTTATAAATTTTCATTTAGGGACTGCATGCTTACCCATAGCTAGTTTGTTTGATACCTACATATACTGTTTGAAAAATAATTGCTTGTCACATAGAAAAAGGCAAAACAAATAAATATATTGACTTGGGTTGTTTTTTATGTTTTTATTATTCTTTATTTTTTGCTGTGCATAGTATTACAGACACAGTTGCAGTGTCACAACAGCTATTGCAGGCAGAC